CACCACTGTCCTTCTGTAGCCCATACTTGTTTCATAGTGTCAAAGCACACTTAGTTCTGCCATCCCCAGTAATGTATAGTAAAATGTGGTAATGTATAGAAATGTATGGTAATGTATAGTAATGAATGGCAATGTATAGTTATGTATGGTAATGTACAGTAATGTATAGTAATGTATGGTAATGTACAGTAATGTATAGTAATGTGTGGTAATGTATAGTAATGAATGACAATGTATTGTAATGTGTGGTAATGTATAGTAATGTATAGTAATGTATAGTAGTGTATAGTAGTGTATGGTAATGTATAGTAATGTATAGTAATGTGTGGTAATGTATAGTAATGTATAGTAATGTATAGTAGTGTATAGTAGTGTATAGTAATGTATAGTAATGTGTGGTAATGTATAGTAATGTATAGTAATGTATAGTAGTGTATAGTAGTGTATGGTAATGTATAGTAATGTGTGGTAATGTATAGTAATGTATAGTAGTGTATAGTAGTGTATGGTAATGTATAGTAGTGTATAGTAATATATAGTAATTAATGGTTATGTATAGTAATGTATGGTAATTAATGGTAGTAATGTATTGTAGTGTACAGTCATGTATAGTAATGTATGATAATTAATGGTAATGTATAGTCATGTATAGTAATGTATGGTAATGTATAGAAATGTATGGTAATGTATAGTAATGTATAGTAATGTATAGTAATGTATAGTAATTAATGGTTATGTATAGTAATGTATGGTAATTAATGGTAGTAATGTATTGTAGTGTACAGTAATGTATAGTAATGTATGATAATTAATGGTAATGTATAGTCATGTATAGTAATGTATGGTAATGTATAGTAGTGTATAGTAATTAATGGTAATGTATAGTAGTGTATAGTAATGTATAGTAATTAATGGTTATGTATAGCAATGTATGGTAATTAATGGTAGTAATGTATTGTAGTGTATAGTAATGTATGATAATGTATGGTAATGTATAGTAATGTCTGGTAATGAATGGTAATGTATAGTAATGTATAGTAATGTATAGTAATTAATGGTAATGTATAGTAATTAATGGTAATGTATAGTAGTGTATAGTAATGTTTAGTAATTAATGGTTATGTATAGTAATGTATGGTAATTAATGGTAGTAATGTATTGTAGTGTATAGTAATGTATGATAATTAATGGTTATGTATAGTAATGTATAGTAATGTATGATCATGTATGGTAATGTATAGTAATGTGTAGTAATTAATGGTAATGTATAGTAGTGTATAGTAATTAATGGTAATGTATAGTAGTGTATAGTAATGTAAAGTAATTAATGGTTATGTATAGTAATGTATGGTAATTAATGGTATTAATGTATTATAGTGTATAGTAATGTATGATAACTAATGGTAATTATAGTAATGTATAGAAATGTATGATAATGTATGGTAATGTATAGTAATGTATAGTAATGAATGGTAATGTATAATAATGAATGGTAATGTATAGTAATGTATAGTAATGTATAGTAATGTATGGTAATGTATACTAATGTATGGTAATGTATAGTAATGTATGGTAATGCATACAAATGTATAGCAATGTGTGGTAATGTATAGTAATGTATAGTAGTGTATAATAATGAATGGTAATGTATAGTAATGTATAGTAATGTATAGTAATGTGTGGAAATGTATAGTAATGTATAGTAGTGTATAGTAATGTATAACAATGTATGGTAATGTATAGTAATATATAGTAATGTGTGGTAATGTATAGTAATGTATAGAAATGTATGATAATGTATGGTAATGCATAGTTATGTATAGTAAAGTATGGCAATGTATAGTAATGTATAGTAATGTATAGTAATGTGTGGAAATGTATAGTATTGTATAGTAATGAATGGTAATGGGTGTGGTAATGTGTTGTTATATACGTAGAGTGTTGGACTCCGTTAGTGCCGTCGTTAATTCACCTAAGCCAAGAGCTCCCACAGTGCTCCAGCCAAATGTGTCTCACAAGTATACGAAAGTAGCTAAGTATATATCTGTTGGTTATTACAGAAATGATTGATGCACAGACAGCCGGAACGTTTCTGCCCTGGATGACTGCACGTGCATGTATGCACATATGTGTATGTTGCCTGGCAACGTGTGCACCAGGAAACCCATGGATTGATGAATGAAGCTATTTTCTTCCTGTCCGTCGCTCCATTAAGTATGTCTTTGCTCCTCTAGTGATCTCCATTCTTCTCTCTATCCAGTGATTCCACAGTTTGTCAGAAACATCTCGCCTACATTCCAAGCGAGGGCTCCATGGTTCCATCCGACATGTGTGCAGTAATCTACATGTGGTTTGGCGATGTTTATTGGGTTTTCTTTCGAAAAGTTTGTTGTAAATGTTGCTGAAAGGTATCACTTAACAATTGTAGTCGCAGACCGTTGCAAAAACTAACAGCAAGCAAATTTCAGGTTCTATAAGAAGAGGTGACTTAAATGACATGAGCTGGAAGTGACTTTGTCGACAGTTTTTTTGTTGTTCTGCGTGGTTTTCCTCTTTGTCAGAAACAAAGGACCATATTCACCTTTTTAAATGAACTTTGGTCTGTTTTTGGGGAATTGTTTTCTGATTTGGCCAAGGTGACTTTTATCGGCACCACAAAGAATGGTTTGCATATACACACGATTACAACATTGATTGAAAATATATATAATCTCAAGTCGCAAGAACAACCACCCTATATAATTTTATTCATTAGGATAATCACACCTATAGCGGTTAAAGTGATATATGTAAATATATAAACAAAGCCCAGTGAATACCCATGTACTAGACGCAGATTCCGACTGCATTATCCGGGTACCTAGCAGGACTCTCGAGAGACTTCTCGTTGACGGTTGACATGCTGATGTTCAACATGTGGGGCAGTATAACAACAATTATACTGTCAATGTCTTCAACTTATTTAGCATAACACGCATTTCATTATTGGGTAAGAAGCGTAAGCATGTACTGACATGATACAGATATAAAAAGGAATGAATTCTGTTATATGCTAAATATATACTATCAGTACTGCAGGGCACGGTTTGGCATGAACAAGAAGACAACGAACTATAAATGTGAAAACAAAACGTAGTACTGTTTTATTTTATCACTGATAATTGTTTTATCCCTTTCAGAACCACTGTAAAAATAGTTTTTAAATTGTTTTTATACAGTTCTATAAATGTTCGATACATATATGTTTATGCATACATTTTTGTTTTTGTCATCACTGAAGTTTTGAAGTCTAGTGGAGGAACAGTGAATACGTTTGATATTTATTCGCGAGTAGCCAAACCACGAGTAAGTATTCAATCACAGATAATAAATCTTTACACATGAATACAAAATGAAAAATTACCCACTTAAACGTCTTCAGTTTTCAAGGCAAGGCCCTGTAAGATGTGTAAGGGGTAGAAGTATACTCTATGTACATTCAAGTGTTTAAGTCCAACATAAATATACCATCATTTGGGATGGGATAATGAAAATGTTGTGATGTAACAGTAATAGTTGAAGCAAAACAATGAAGTGCTTACGACTTTAACGTGAAAGGGCGTCCCAAAGAAATTAGATTCTATCGGTACCAGTTTCATTGACTTTGACTTCAAGATATGAACATAAACAACACATAAGTACTGCATTCGTAACCTTTGAACCACAGGAGTATTCAAACAAATGCTGAGACTATAAATGAATAATTAATTGTTTAAAGACATGTGTTACCGCCATACCTTTATAAGGAATTACATCCACGGAGTATATCCTGTATAGGAGCCTGCTGACTGGGGTGGGAGTGTGTGTCTAACTCGACCACAGCACCAGGGAATGGGCAGGTTTAAACTTTGTTAAAGTGTTTGCTGATTTAGGCACAAAGTTAGCGAGACGGGTTTATATGTGTGGTTATAGGGCATGGATTTCTCGTTTGAGTTGTACATTCTACATGGTGGAGGCAGCGAACCAGGCCGGCTGATTCACGGTATGTTGCTGGAGACGCCATTTCCAAATTACACGAATCCAAGCGAGATCTCCCAGAAACTCTGCTTGGGACGAGGGAGAGTTAGTAGGAGGGGGATTACGGCCGACCCCCCCTGGATGGCGACAGTCACTACCCATATACCCATTACCCTCCAGCCATTGCAAAGGGATCGCACTGTACCAGCGGCTTGTATGTTAATGTTTCATTTGTAAAAGCAGTTATTTTCTGCTAGGTTTAAGATTCGATGCCCACCCTTAATGTGGCGTAGTTTAGGTGATTGGGCGAAACAAACACCTTTCCCGTTTGAGTGTATTGCATCAAGCATCAGGCCATCATTGCTTCGTCTGGGATGGCCGCCATCTGAATAAAGCGTGAGGACTCTGGTAAATACATAGATACGCTGCTGCTTTCTTGCCGTCATGTACATAAGAAGCAGGGAGTAAGAAAATAGAAATGCCAAATGTGCATTTGCCGACACCAAAACTTTGATTATGGTACTATTAAAGAATATGAAAAAATACACCCGATAAGAAAATTAGGAAAGTTATTCTTTTGTTTCCAACATAATTTGATTTTCGGTGAAAACATTTTCTTTGATCTTCCAAATCGGGACCACATTTTCCAACGGTAATGGCACGGTCTGTGATTGGTAGCTGTGGAGAACAAATCTGGTTAGTTCTTCTGCAAGGGCAGGCGCGATGCCTGACAGGAGCTCGGTGATCCAAGGCGGGGTTATAGACTCCTGATTGACGGCCACACGCCCCCCATCCAATCACGTGTCGAGGCGCTCAATTAAGCGGGTGGTTCCGTCTACTGGGAACGACAGGCGCTCTTGGGGGACAGTAAAAGTCACGTTGTGGTGCCATTGACATGCATAACGCTTCCTAAAGTCACCACGCAATATGAAACCAGGCAGTTAACGGAGACCAAAGTTTACCGAACTCTCAATTCAAGCTGTCGTCGTTTGTCCAGCACTTACCTTCACAGGAACACCCTGAGCTGTTGACAGTCGGAAAGCTGGACGCCAACCATATCCCAAACCCTGGACTTGCAGTGGATTACGGCGCTTCAGTTATGGGTAAGTGAGTGGGTAGCGATCACGCTCCTGTGACCACATGCCCCCACCCGGTACACGCGCTGGGGAAACAGTTATGCCATTAGACGCCTGGAGTACTTCAAGGTGACTACTGACCCCTCACCACTCAGGTTGATGGTGACAACTACCTCCCTCGGCGAGATTTATACCCCTATGACCCTCTCATTTCATCCCCGCCACCAAAACACAGCCATCTATAGCTTCCATATGGGACATAGTTGCCACAATAGTAAACTCAACCCTGCAAAACATGCATAAACCAACCATTTTGACAGCTAAGCGCGAGCAAAATGTGAATTTAGGATTAACTTTCAGCTCCTAAAATAGTTTCTGTTCTCGACAAGACGCAAGTGGTGTAGATCGTGAAATAGTTCATTCTTTTCGTGACGATAAATTTTCCTTGCACACAAAATATATCTGTATTAAAGTTTCCATTCACAATTACATCGATGTCTTTTGGCGTGATGATGTTTAGCTGGCGACACAGATCTTTACCACACTCATTACATCAAAATTTAACTAATAATATCTGTTAAACAAGTTGCAGATAATTATTACAACTTAATACTCAGAACTAATTTCGTAAAATATTTTAGCACCAACACTTAACGTGAAATATTGCTTTTTGACAAAATTATTTTAACTAATATTGTACATTGAATTAAAACCTCAAAACATATCCTGTATTGTTTTTTTAGCGGAGATCTTTAGTTTTGATTCAAGTACGTACTATTATCTTTCAAAATAAACAACATTTTGCTTGTGTAGAAGTTGACACGCATTATCAGAACTGTAATAAGGTGAAACTATTCTAAAAATAATTTTGAGCGTTAAATATTACAGAAGGATTAGCTACAAGAACTGTATAGTGTCCACACAGAGGTCATGCACTGACCCAGATGGTCGGCGACGGACATTCAGCCGGACCGCTCACACCACCAGTAGTATCCGCCTTTACAATTTGTATTAATATTTCCACAAAATTCATTTTTATTTCTTTATTATAGTCCACAATAGGAGAGTAACCAGTTGTTCTGAATTGCAAATAATACCTTTAAAAGAGTGTTAACTGATAAACATGAACACATCCAGCATGTTATTTCGTAAAGACTATGTGGGGTTTACAGTGGTCATCTGTGTCCAAGGTGGGTCCCACCACTTGCTGGTAATTAATTCGGACCTAGAATTAAAGTTTCTCACGTTTTGGCTTGATAACAGGTCAGGAACAACAAGATACCGCCATGTTAATTTTCCAGCTTGTCGCGGGGCTAAATTAGATAGTCACCTTGGAACAGGGAGAGCAGTGATTTATCTAGGTGTTTGGCAAATCTTGCCCCTTCAGGTTGCGTGTTTTCATCGAAAGTGCCAATTTGGTTTATTTGCAGCGGGTAGGTAAACGTTCCCCGTCTACCCCCGGTGGGTCAGCGATCCCTCTCGCCCGTATTTACAAACTAACATGGATATGACATCGTATGTAGAGACCGATCCTTCAGGCTTCTCAAGATGTTTTTCTTTTGTTTATCAAGCACTTCACTGTGTATGTCATGTCTTCTTTACTAAGCAGGGACTTCCAATGTCGGTATTGAGTAATTATTCTCCCCTGTCGTTTGCCTTATAAGAGATCTGGAGTTCATAACTCTAATTCCATAACTGGTCGCTTCTACATAATCGCACGAAATTCTCTGGATATGGGTTTGTTGTCTCACATTTACAAACATCATACTTAGATATATGCAATGCAGGAAATATTTAAGTGTTTATTTGTTATTTTAGCTAGTCAAGTGCTTTATTAAGATATTGATTTCTAAACTGTATAGTTGTAATGTTTGGTCAGAAAAAAATATTTTACTTTAGGAAATTCGCGGAAAGCTTTTCCTCTGCAAAATTCTTTAGACATTTGAAATTTTCAATATTTATAAATTAGCCACAAACTGCTGATCCTTTCAAACTTTACATGGGTCTTCTGCATGTATCTATTCAACTTTCAACAATTTATGATAAATCTGTTATTTACTATTTTGACACTGGAATTAACATTTGTTGAGATATATTTTTTCTAGCAGCATGTCTGTGTTATATATATTTGGTTCTATGTGTAACCGAAAAAAACGCAGTATCCAATTCCTCAAAAATAAATAAAACTTGCGCAATGTTGGAACTTTATGCTAACATGTTTTGATGCGGACACTAACTAATGGTCTCGGGTAAACATGGAGTCAAGCTTGTTGCGAGATAAGTGCGAGAACAGAAATCGGAACAGGAGGTATTTATCAGCTAAATACTACCCTGTCAAACTCAATTGCGACACACAGATTGTCCCAAGGGCTGCAATGTTTTCTTACAGATTCTCAGAAAGAAACATGCGAATTTTACGTTTTAAGTGAAACGCGAGTTTGGGAGAAATTGAGCGTTTTATCAATCATTCGGGTGCCCAGTACAGGCAACAATTAACCTTTCTAACATTTTTTAAAGTTTTGTTGATATTAAGTGATTTGACTGAGATGCACTTATTCTTGATACTATTTCTTTTCATCGAGTGTTTTACATTGTACTGAATCCTCCCCATTCGAAGTTGATTATTCTTCTTAATTATGTGTATGTATTTTTGTATAATATCCAAACATTAATAAGTCAAGCTGAGTGGACGTTCCACATATTTTTAGGAATTCAGGTGTTGAATCTTTTTCACGAGCGATTGAAAATATGAAATAAAATAAAAGGTAAAATTCCTGTTAATAACACTAGATCGCTCACCACGTGTAAACCTCTAAAGACTAGATGAAGGAATGGTTACATACAACCTGCCTACCATCAACATCTAGTGTTTGTTCAGAAATTTGTGATGAGATTTTAAATGATTAATTTAGATTATTAACTTGGGATTTTTAAGTCAGCACCGGCAGTCCGCCACAGCCTACATTGTATGTGAAGAAACATCTTGTACTAATCCCGAGAAATTATTTTTTCTAAAATAATCCTTTGCTGTATGATATGCTAGTTCTAATTCAATTTACCGGAAACTAGTCCATTTGTTCTGTTAGCAGTCTGATTTGCAGCAATGCCATCATGACAGACCCTGCCGTCTTCTAGCTGAAGCTGCACAGCGACACGAGGGAATATCTCCTCTTTTTGTAATGTCCTTTTGCCGATTTCTTTCTTTTATTATACACACAATTTATAACATTTCTTATTTCACAAACACGCATCTTAGAAACGCCATTACAAAGCAGAAGCGCAAACATCTAAGAAAACAATATAAATTTGCGTCAACAACCCAAAAGTGATTGATAAATAGCTGATTGAGGTGTATCTCCTCATGGCCATATATCAGTATAGTTTGCAGTTCATTCCGTCTTCTCCAAGTCCCTTCACATGGTATGACCATGGATTCATAACTATTCAAACTAAGTTAAATACATGAGTATCTGATCTATGTTCTTAATGTGTTATTGTTCAGGCGACAGTGAAGAGTACAGCATACGTTTACCATGTGCACGGTGTTTATCTGTGTAGCAAAACCATGTTTCAGTGTTATATTATCCTATGCGACAAATTCAACCACTGACAAATACACATTGAGATTAACGAAGTCGTTAATATTGTAACACAAATATACCACATGACTTGTGATGTATGCATCACATGATGTCTGACTGCAGCCACTTCCTCCCCTGCCAGTAACACGCTGTCAACACACCACTGACTGTCCCATCATTACAACAAACCAGCACTACCAACTTTCCGTACAAGCAAGCACTGGCATGTATATTTTGCCTTCCTCCCCTGTTGTGTCCCCCTGTACTCCCTGCACATACCACCAGAACAGTATCTGCATGGTCTACAACACAAGGCTGGACGATGCTTGCACTCAGTGGCGGGGTTGTTCGAGGGACTTGTCAGGTGTATTTCATATACCACAGTACAGTATTTGTTAAGGACGAGATTTGCATACACACAAAAAATAGTTACAAGTGATCAGAATGTTAAATAAAACGAAGCTATTGAAGCCGCAGCACAAAGTGATAAATATTTAATGACGACACAAAAAGTATTCGGAATTTCATGAATTGTTTTCGTTATAATAATTTTTAATATTTACTGGACATGCTGCTTCATAGTCAACTAGCAAACACCACATTGTCACGGACACTGTAAGGCGAAACCACGGTAGAACGAAATGTTTGATAGGCATTTCTTCGAAGTTGACAGATGACAAAGTAAACAAAACGTTTATGGATAACAACTTCTTTATTATGCTGTAATAGCGACGTTTCGGCATAGATCATTATACCGTTGTCATTATTACAGTATATTATAGTTATTATCCATAAACGTTTCGTCCACTTTGCCACAGTAGAATCAATAGGTGATAATTTAGTATCCACAAATAACTAGTGGGCAACTGTTCCGTGTGAAATCACAGAGTGTTAATGTACCATATATACATCATTTATGTATTCCTCGGGGAAAAGTCCATAAGTCAGATAGGGGAATCTTAGAAATTGAAGTTAAATGCAAAGAAATTTACACATTCATCAGTACATACACACATGCATATACGCACGCACGCACGCACGCACGCACGCACGCACGCACACACATAACAGTATAGCGTCAGAATTGACCATCGGGATCTTGCCAAATTACTGGGAACATTAACATTGCTACACTAATAGTCTAAGATAAAGAAAATAAGTGTCTAACAAGGACGTCAGCATGATCAGTTGCCATGTCTACGGCTTGGGGTCTCTTCCCAAATTTAAAGCTGTTGGATTTGGCCTAAATATTTGACTTTGTTTCGCTTTGTCGCTGTGTGAGACATCAGACTGATTTCGTAACCTTATGTCTGCCCGGGCACACTTTAAACAAACGTGACGTCTCATATACTAAAGTTGCTTCCCTTTGGCAAAGGGCAATTACTCTTTCCGGCGGACCGATGGATTACCAACGAAAGGCGTTCACTGATATTGGAAACTTAGGCGTAGGCATATGTCACTTTGCCTATCTTGGAGTTATGCCGCTGTCTCAAAAACAAATATTTAATTTGAATTATATTGACTCTAGTAACTCTGCGACCTTGAGACCTAATAATCAATGCGCAAATTCCTGTAAAACTTGCAGTGCTTACAATTTAAAAATGACATCATATGATAAAATGTCACCAGGTTTGGGATGGTAAATATCCTTTGTTAGGAAAAAATTCTATGTGTTTAGTTCGCCAAGGCTCGCTTATTCAATGCTTATTCCTAACACAGGATATATCCATCCAAAAAGTAATTCGCGTGATGCCATTTCAACTTGAGAAATAACTGATTATAATTTCGATATTGTATTTAATATCTAATTCATTCAAGACCTTTTGCTGCAGTGCATATCTATCAGCTGGTGTGTATGTGCATGTACTGGTATATTTCGTGAGTCTGATGCCCATTATGTTTGTTACAGAGCACCAGACGTACGGGGAGGTCAACCAGCTGGGAGGCGTCTTCGTCAACGGCCGTCCACTGCCAAACGCCATCCGTCTGCGTATCGTGGAACTTGCTCAGTTGGGGGTACGGCCATGTGACATTAGCCGCCAGCTCCGGGTGTCCCACGGGTGTGTCAGTAAGATCCTAGCCCGCTACAACGAGACGGGGTCCATCCTTCCTGGTGCCATAGGAGGGAGCAAGCCCCGGGTGACCACACCAAACGTTGTTAAACATATCAAAATGTACAAGGACCGAGACCCAGGCATCTTTGCCTGGGAGATCCGGGACAAACTGTTAGCCGACGGCGTGTGTGACAAGTACAACGTTCCTTCAGTCAGCTCTATCAGTCGGATTCTCAGGAACAAGATTGGGGGGACGGGGGGTACTCAACCCTCTCAGGGACAACAGTATGAGAGCAAGCCCCCCACCCCTATCGCTCCGCCTCCGTCTGCACCCATCTATCACAACCAGTTCTACCCTTACTCCTGCCCCGCACCCACAATGCCGTCTATCCCCACCCCCCATCAGATTCCACCTCAGCCGCCAAGTATTCCCATGAACAAACCCCCTGTTTCAAGCTGTGTGTCACCTTGTATGATGAGGGCGTGGCCCTCCTCACATTCCGTTAATGATATTCTGGGCTTCAGGTACCAGCAGGCAATAGGGCAGGCGGGATCTATGCCACCGGATAATGGCACAAGTTTCGGTCAAAATTATAACGTCACGAACTACTATGCAATGAAACCAACCATGTCTCCTATGTATCTTCAAAGTTGATTCTCAACAAAGATTGTGATGGCTGGCAAGGCCCAATGACTGTATATGTGGACACGTAATTTAAGCTTGGAGTGGAATTCTTTGATGACACTATAAAGGTGCTGTGACAATATGGACGTCGAGTGATGGTGAATATTGTGCTCTGGGAGAGATGGCCACATCCCAAAATAGCACGGTAAGACACGGCAAAATGTTGTCTTTGCAGATTCTCGTCCGGTGACAGTTGGTAGTCCCGTGGTCAGGTACACGCGCCGTGACTGCGCGGGTCTGTGTTGCTGACGGTGCTAGACCATGCTCGGGGCACACCAGAGAACACTGGACACTGTTCTGAACATTTGCTCATGGTGTGAAAGAAATCATTTCATAAATTATCATTTATGCAAAAATGCCTCATCTTTCAAATTATTTGAGAGCATTTTGTTATTGTCGTTTTTATTACACATTATAAGTGCCAAAATACTGATATGTAAGAAAACCTTCAGGGGGGTTATCTCCCTTTGTTTGCCACACGGGGACATATTTTGCCTCCGCTGGGAAGTGATCCATCCTGATGTGTTGCCATCTAGTCACGTGTACATATGTCTGTATGTGTATCATTAATGGATATTGTCTGGCGTTATTTCTAGAAGCAATTCATGTAATAAATTGTTGGATCACTCTCTGCCTCTTTCGTTATTCAAAGTAATTCGAAGAATAACTTATGATTTTATCATTCAACAACGTTTTACTGTAATGATAGTAAAACTTGTATATTGAGAACAGCAGGGAGTATAATAGAAGTAAGTGTCTGTGGTGTACGCCGTGTACTACCAGTAACAAACGCAGCAAGACGGGACACAGCAATAGTTACAGGTGCCACGCCACAGATCAACCCAAACCCCTATCTAACACACGCCTGACAAACATAATTGTTGAATAGTTCAAATAAATGTGTCACTGCAGGTTTAATCATTTTTATATAATGATTCTGACACAATATCTTGTATTGAGATACGGACTCCTGTATGTAAATATTCCCATTCACAAATTCATATAATCTGTGGTGATTTTATTTTTATTTGCACCCGAAGTTAATATCCTAACTAAAAATTAGTAGCTGCTTCTGCACCCACAGTTTACTCTGAAAACGAGTTGCTGTGCGAGTTTAATTAAATATGTACACTTCCTTCTGCACGTACAATCATTTCTTCACTCGACGTTACCTTGTATTTCCAGAAGAAAATGTTGACTTCAGTTATCATGAAAACATGTGGGCTTTTGTTTAATTAACAGCTTTACTTACATCCCATTTTCTTCACGTATAATCAGTACAAATAAGCAGCTAAAATGCAAGCTTAGCATCGTGTGAACATACAGTGACTGCTACTTCACGGTGTGACCTAGACTAACATCTAGTCTCTGAAATGAACATATTTCACAGCAAAAAGGGTTGTAAAATTATAGTTATAAAATATAATTAAAAGAAGCCCAGAGACTTTCTTTATTTTCATATCCTCATACTGCATGAATCTTAACTTGCCAAACATTATAGATCAGAATTGCATGGGCTCTATTGGATATATTTGTTTCAGGGTCTGTATGACAGACAAGGTGTTGACCCCTCACCACAGAATACTCAAGTCATGGTTCATACTTTCTTTACTGATCATGAACATGTAATTGTGTTATGTTCAAAATGTGGCATATAGTTAAACCCTGTTAATTCGACCATATACCACTTTTGAACTACCCATGTAGGGTAATTTTACAAATGCCTAATATGTGTATTATATTTAGTTTAAGAAGATATCTCGAAGATTAGATTTGGAGCTAGACGGAAGGGCCGCGCTGATGTGTCCAGAGAGTGTTTTTGAAACATTTTGTAATTACTCTTTAAATATATGATAAAATGTACTCCGATATGGATTAATAGAGCAGTTTTAATGAATTTCTTGTCTTCTCTACAAGTTTTGAAAATCTTTCCGACATCATATCTATGCCTCTTTACAATATATGCCGAAAACTAATCAATGACAAATTGTTTGCTTGAAATAATTGACAACGCACATAAATGTATATTTAAAGACGTGGCTGAGACTCGAACCTCATCCCGCAGTGCACGACCCTTACAGGAGGCGTGTGAACAAAACCACTGCATTGTACACACGCATGCATGATGGTCTCGTCAGTTTATGTATGGGTCTATTTTATGAGACAGTTTTCATTGAAATCGAGTTTCTCTATATGTATTTATGATTTATGGATATTTCACAAAGAAATAAATTTCGATACATTTCTGGCATTTTCTATATTGAGAAAGACAGAATTACCTACTACGTGTCAAACACCAGAAATATATCGTGCGATGGGAAATACTAAACTTATCCCTTCTTCCATCCAAGAAAGATAACCACCAACACCAACATACGAAGCGCGGATACAGGTTTCTGGAAAAGGAGAGGTGTATTTTGTTATTTGGTAAATCTCGTTCAGTAAAAGTGTAATTTTGTTGAAAATATATCATCAAAACGTAAGTCATAGTATTGCCACCCCTCACACACCGGACCCCGACTCCCACCCCCAACCATACCCTACACACAGTCGCGTACAGCACCGTAATAATCAAACCTACAAATCATATGGCATGGACACAGTGGTTTTCGTCAAGCAAAACCTATCATTAGTGTGATGGTGCCAGACTCTTCGGGTCTGTAACCCGTGCATCTCACTTTCTCAGTGCGTTCCTTGTAAATCAGGAGGGGTTTGCATTAATGTTTTAGCCACGGACATAATTATTTGTGTGTACTGTTTACTTAAATGAACTATTTTCTTAAATAGTAATCCTTTAAAGACACGGGAGATGCATTTCTGGGCGTCGCGCACATGCCCCCAGCAGTGTTTTAACATAAGTGAATATCATGTAGGAAATTTATTTAAGCTGCCGATTACCTTTTATTAGACACTGACCAACCTTGTACACATTAGATCAGAAATAATGAACATTTAAGCCTTTATGTATATGGAGGATGTAAAACTGTTTAACAATCCCAATATTGTTAGAATTCCATATAACGGTTGGATACATTTGAACGTAGACGTCACGTTTTTCCAAATGATCTGTTAAGCAGAAATATAAAGGTAGTTTAGGCCAGCAACAATCTCTTGTTGTAAAGTTTAATGCATGTTTTCTGTCATTCATTCTGCGAAATGGCGCATTTCTCTCTTAAATAGAAGTTGACATACCCACAAAGGTTATCAATATCAGGACATGACACATGTTTGACGAAAACGAAGAGATCCTGGAGCTGGGTCTAACAACGGAGTTATTCGTCCAGCCATGGGTACAGTTATCATGTATATACAGCTACAGTACAGTAAACGGATCTTGTAATATTTTAGTTTCCAGTATAAGTGATGGCACTGCGTCACATCTTTTGTTAATGTCCGAAACAGAGAATCGATGTTGTTCTAGTTCCACTATATTTCATCTGATACACTATTTACATAAAAGTTCGTTTTTTTCGTCTCATGCAAATATTATTTACAAGTTTAAACTATAGTTACTGAGTAGGAGGAATAAGATGAGTTAAAATTATTTTAAAAATAGTAAGATGACGTCAGGGCCTTCTCGAATATTTCAATCGAGAAGCAAACTATGTTTTACAAAGCATTACTCAAGGGAATAGTACTGTGAAGTATTGAATTATTCTAAAGGGGTGAGACAGAAAAAAGGATGGGAAATAATAAATGCATTTGAAAATACAAATTCATCAAGAAATACGAGTGATAATTATATAATGAACTTTCGGTGATAAGATCCCCTTTCTTGATATCGGTGTGACAAGATCAGTGTCTGATAGTGATGTTACATGTAGTGACAACCAACCCGCTCAGTTCATGGCAAAGGCGTAACTCGATCCCGCCAGTAGGGAGTTCATGTTGAGGTGCGTACACATGGGGGTTTCAGGAGAGGCAGCCATGCATATATATTTGATAAACTAAATGTTCAGAAGTGCTCTTGTTCCTTTACCACCTTTACAATCCCCGACACACATCCCCGGCATCAATGTATAAGTACACCTTCAGACGTAACATGTTTACAATCCCCGACACACATCCCCGGCATCAATGTATAAGTACACCTTCAGACGTAACATGTTTACAATCCCCGACACACATCCCCGGCACCAATGTATAAGTACACCTTCAGACGTAACATGTTTACAATCCCCGACACACATCCCCGGCACCAATGTATAAGTACACCTTCAGACGTAACATGTTTACAATCCCCGACACACATCCCCGGCACCAATGTATAAGTACACCTTCAGACGTAACATGTTTACAATCCCCGACACACATCCCCGGAACCAATGTATAAGTACACCTTCAGACGTAACATGTTTACAATCCCCGACACACATCCCCGGCATCAATGTATAAGTACACCTTCAGACGTAACATGTTTACAATCCCCGACACACATCCCCGGCACCAATGTATAAGTACACCTTCAGACGTAACATGTTTACAATCCCCGACACACATCCCCGGAACCAATGTATAAGTACACCTTCAGACGTAACATGTTTACAATCCCCGACACACATCCCCGGCATCAATGTATAAGTACACCTTCAGACGTAACATGTTTACAATCCCCGACACACATCCCCGGCACCAATGTATAAGTACACCTTCAGACGTAACATGTTTACAATCCCCGACACACATCCCCGGCACCAATGTATAAGTACACCTTCAGACGTAACATGTTTACAATCCCCGACACACATCCCCGGCACCAATGTATAAGTACACCTTCAGACGTAACATGTTAGACATAAACTTTCCTGGGGCATAACGATTCACTTTTGGTGATTTCTAGAAGTGTAGCAGTGGGCTCACACACTGGCCCAGTGTTATAAGATCTATATCATTCTAGTTTTAGATGGTATTGTCACATCAGTAGAAGTCAATCAAAGAGAAGTGAATGTTGTCGCCTGAACCATAACTAGCAGGTTAATTAAACAACTCATTATGTAGATCGTGTGTCATGCAGACCCTGAAACAAATATATCCAATACAGCTCATGCAAATCTGTTGAATTTGGCAAGTCTGGCTATTTATTACTGCAGTTTCAGTTTCTGAAAATGAAAAATATATCATTGCTCATTTTTATTATAATTTATAAATATAATTTAACAACGTTTTTTCTGTAAAATATGTGCATTTCAGAGACTAAATATTAGTCTAGTATGTGGGAATGTGTGTTGAGGTGTTGCAGGTAAAGCAGGCTGTGGAAATGTGTGTGAGGTGTTGCAGTTAAAGTAGGCTGAGGGAATGTGTGTTGAGGTGTTGCAGTTAAAGCAGGCTGTGGGAATGTGTGTTGAAGTGTTGCAGTTAAAGTAGGCTGAGGGAATGTGTGTTGAGGTGTTGAAGGTAAAGCAGGCTGTGGAAATGTGTGTTGAGGTGTTGCAGTTAAAGTAGGCTGAGGGAATGTGTGTTGAGGTGTTGCAGTTAAAGTAGGCTGTGGGAATGTGTGTTGAGGTGTTGCAGGTAAAGCAGGCTGTGGAAATGTGTGTTGAGGTGTTGCAGTTAAAGCAGGCTGTGGGAATGTGTGCGAGGTGTTGCAGTTAAAGCAGGCTGTGGGAAAGTGTGCGAGGTGTTGCAGG